GAGACTCAGCGACAAACGGCGCAGCGCGTCACAGTTTGCTGCTGCTGCTGCTGCTGCTGCTGCTGCTGTAGTTGTTGCTGCTGCTGTGGTTGTTGTTGCTGCTGCGGCTGCTCCTTCTTCTGCGGCTGCTGCTGCAGTGGCTCCTTCTCCTGCTTCTGCTGCTGCAGCGGTTCCTTCTCCTTCTGGTGCTGCCGCTGTTTCTGCTGCTGCTGCTGCTGCTGCTGCTGCTGCTTGGACAGCTTGTATCCACTGAATTGCGTCTCTCCATCTTTGCTTCTCCATGAAAAGTTCTGCAAGTTTTTGGAAGTTTTAAAAAGCATAACATTAAAACGCTTTTAACAATTCAATTTTAATTAGAATGAATTCAATTAATTGAATTACTCAATCCATTTAAACTCTTTTTGTTTCTATTCTTAACTTTAATTCATTTAAATTTAATTACTTTAATTTTTCACTTTATTATTTTATTTAATTACTTTTAATTCTTTTATTTAATTTTATTTACCTGCAAACTCAACAAAGGCCTCCGGCAAAACGAAAAACAACTTTTCTCCTTTAACTCCTTCTTCCCAAGTTTTCAAAATGCATTTAAGCAGATCTTCGAGAACTTTCTCATTTGCTGCTGCTGCTGCTGCTGCTGGGGGCTCTGCTGCTGCTGCTGCTGCTGCTGCTTCTGCTGCTGCTGCTGCAGCAGGTGAGAGCGGCGTTGCTGCAGCGGGCGTTGGGGGGCGAGTTGCTGCTGACTGCATTGCTGCTGCTTCCGGTGTCTGTGTCTCATCATCAGCATCGCATTCCTTTGCTGCTGCTGCTGCTGCTGCTGCAGCTGCTGCTTGCTGCTGCTGCAGAAAAGCAACTGCAGCAGCTGAGAGGTCCCCCAGGAGCTGCTGCCTTTTGATCTTTGCAGCTCTGAAGAGCAGCAAGCGGCAGTCAGCAGCAGAAATGTTTTCGCAGCAAAAGGAAATTAGCTGCTGCTGTGCAGCAGCAGCAGCTTCTGCAGACAGCAGCTGCTGCAGCCGCGTCTCCAAACTGGCATTTGAGCTGCTGCTTCAAAAAAGGAAATAAAATGAAATAAATAAACAATATTTCCGTTTACGAAAGCAAAACATCCCAACTACCTTTCGCCCCTGTCCTGCTGCTGCTGCTGCTGCTGCTGCTGCTGCGGTTGCTGCTGCTGCTGCTGCTGCTGCGCGAGCTCGGCGCAGCAGCTGAGGGCCAAGACATGCCAGTAGAGGGGGGAGTGTTTTTGGTCCGCAGCAAGCAGCAGCAGCAGCGACTGCTGCAGCTTTGCTGCTGCTTGCTGCATGTCTTTGAGCCTGTTTTGAACAAAGCAGCAGCAGCAAAAGAGTTAAAACCCAAATAAATTGAATTTAATTTAATTTAATTTAATTTAATTAAATCTACCGAAAGCAGCAATCTCCCGCAAGTGCTGCTGCGCATGCGCGGGCCCTGCGGAGTCCGTGGCCTTCTTCTGGGGTGTACGTACACCTCTGGGGAAGCAGCAAGAGTTGCTGCTGCTGTTGCTGCTGCGCAACACAAGCTTCGCAAGACTTACTTCAGTTGCTGCTGCTGCTGCTGCTGCTGCTGCTGCTTCTGCCAGCAGCAAAGAGGGCCTCCACGCGCCGCCATTAAAAGCTTCTTGACTCAAAGCGCAAAGTCCCAAGACATTCGAAGCAGCAAACTGAATAAATACATTTAATTAAACAGAACGCCATTTTGCTGCTGCTGCTGCTGCTACTGCTGCTGCTGCTGCTGCTGCTGCTGGTTTGCTGCACTTGCCTCTGGGGGCGCCGCGAGCCAGGCGGCGAGCTGCTGCTGCAGCGGCTCGCAGTGTCTTTTGTGGATTTCTTTTTTTTCTTTTAATTGCATTTTAGTCCTGAAGAATTAAAAGTCCATTTGAAGTTCAAAAAAGCAAAAAGTGCCACTCACCAAGTCTCAGCCCAGCGCAGGCGAATGCTGTTCACAGAAGCACTCCCGTGCAAGTACCCTGCGCTCCTGCAGCAGCAGCAGCAGCAGCAGCAGCAGCAGCAGCGGGGTTCGTGCGCTTGGAAGCAGCAAGAGGAAGCAGAAGCAAAAGGGAAATACCGGAGAAGGCGGTCGTCGAGCTGCAGCGCAGCAGCCACGGAGCTGCTGCACTTGGAAAGAGAGAAGCTGCAGCTTTTTAAATCTGCTGCTTCGAAGCACTTTCGTGCTGCAGCAATATACACCTGAAGGGAGAGCGCATGCATGCACTGGTGGGGCTTCTCGCGCTGCTGCTGCATGCGTTCAAGTCTGGGTTTTCGTTGAAACGGGGCCTTGCAGGCGTTGCAAGTGCGGCTTTCCGCTCGAATTGAAGGCAGCAGTGATATTTATTAATTAAAATGCATTTAAATTCAATTTAAAAAGAAAGACTTTCTATTTCAACACCAACCTGGGGAAGCTGCGCGCCGTAGAGCTGCGCCTCCAGCGTGCCGCGCCGGCGGTGACAGGCGCAAACAACTTCCCAAGACTTCGCGAGACAAAGATGAACTCGGCAAGAAATAACTTTTTCCATTTCTTCTCTTCTTCCGCAAGATTCTTCCTGCAGCAGCGCAAGAAGTTCTGCTTTCCCCCGGGGGTCCAGCGCCTGCACGGCGCCCGCGAACAGCCCGGCGGAAACCACTTCGGAAAATTCATGTTTCTTTAATTCAGAGAAAACTTCCAAAGCCTGGGCCTCCATTTTCGCTTTCCAACTTTATTTCAACAAAAGAAATCAACTGGTGACCACTAGCGAGCGCTCCAGCGCCCAATTCATCTTCTGCAGCCGAGCTGCCGATACACCCCAACGCCTCAACGCGGAAAGCAGCAGAAACTTCGGGAATCCCTTCGAATTAAGTGCGATCTCCATTAAGAATCATTTAATATTTAATTTTCATCTCATAAAGTTTTGTTCTTGGCTCGAATGGCGCTGATTTTGCTTCCAGTTCAAACCGCGCCGCCCCTTGCAGATCCTGCTGCTGCTTCCTCTTCCCTGCAGCTTCTCTGCTGCTGCTGACTTCCCGACTTGGCTCAAAAAGCAGCGCAACAAATAAACATTCCAATAGAAACACAGCAGCAGCGAAAGAAACAAAGCAGCTGCAAAAGAAATAAAGCAGCAGCAAAAGAAATAAAGCAGCAGCAAAGAGCAGAGCAGCAGCAGCAGCAAAAAACAAAACAGCAACGAGAGTAGCAGTGCAGCAGCAAGATAAGCGGAGCAGCAGCAGGAGAAACAAAGCAGCAGCACAGGAATAAAGCAGCAACATGCGAATAACAGCAGCAACAAGAAATAACGGCAGCAACAAGAAAGTGACAGCAGCAAGGGAGCAGCAGCAGCAGCAAGAAAGCCGCAGCAGTCTCTGAGAGTAAGATGAAGAAGACTCGAAAAGTAATTTGGGTTTTGTTTTCTCCTTTAAATAAAAAGACAAATGAGATCTGCCAGAAGTCCAAGAAACATTTGAGGACTTTGGCAGCTCAAAGAGCCGCAGCAGCAAAATCGACTTCAGCAGCTGCTGCAGCTGCTGCAGCTGCTGCAGCTGCTGCAGCTCCTGGGCCCTTCTTTCCCTCCGCTGGAGCAGCTCGCTGCCAGCTCCTCTTCCTCCATCCTTCTTTGCTGCAGGAGCAGCAGCAGCTCCTGCTGCTGCTGCAGCAGGTCCTGCTGCCGCAGCAGCAGACTGAGCCGCTGCTGCTGCCATTCTGCTGCTGATCACCCCGGCGGCCATCTGCAGCAAGGCGCGTTGGTCTTTAGAGAACAATTCTGCAGCAGCAGCAGCAGCAGCGGCAGCAGCAAAGAAGTGTTTTGCTGCTGCTGCTTTTGCTGCAGCGCCACACACTGCAAACAAAACCTCAGGTGTACGTACACCCCAACTTAATACCCCACCTCGCAAATTGCAGCAGCGCCGCATCACCGCCGCCATCCACCAGCTGCCAGCACTGCCAGTCCGCAGGGCCTGCAGCAGCAGCAGCAGCAGCACCAGCAGCAGCAGCAGCAGTAGTAGTAGTAGTAGTTGCAGCAGCAGTAGTAGTAGTAGCGGTAGCAGCAATAGCAGTAGCAGCAATAGCAGCAGCAGTAGTAGCAGCAGCCGTAGCAGCAGCAGCAGCAGCAGTGGCAGCAGCAGCAGCAGCAGCAGCAGCAGCAGCAGCAGCAGAACGGGCTGGAGTGAGGGGCAACAGCCTGGTTTAAAATCGCAGCCAGTGAGAATGGCGAGGGCTTAGGGTTTAGAGAGTAGGGTTTGGGGTTTTGAAACTAGGGTTTAGGGTTTAGGAAGGGTTTAGGGTTTAGGACTCACAGCAGCAACGACATGTGTGAGTTCCCCTGGCTGCAGCTCTGCTGCTCTTTTTGCTGCTTGCTGCTGCACGTGCTTCTTAGCAGCAGCAAGGAGCTGCTGCAGCAGCTCGTGTCTGTCCAAATGCGAATTCACATCTGCCGCTGCTGCTGCTGCTGCTGCGTCTGCTGCTGCTGCTGCTGCTTTTATTTCTTTTTTTCTTTCTTTTTTAATTGACTTCTCCAAAAACTCCAAAGCCCCAAATGCCACTTCTGCAGCAGCAGCACCAAATGCATGCAGCGGAGCCCGCAGCAAACAGCGCAGGCATCTTTCAATAAGAAAGGAGACGCCGTTGCTGCTGCTGCTGCTGCTGCTGGCACAGCTGTTGCTGACGGTGCTGCTGCTGCTGTAGCTGCTTCTGCTGCTGTCGTTGCTGCTGCCTTTGGCGCCGCTGCTGCTGCTGCTGCTGGCTATGAAGCTGCTGCTATCTGTGCTGGAGTGGCCGCTGCTGCTGCTGTTGCTGCCGCTGTTAGTGTTGGCGCTGCTGCTGCTGCTGCTGCTGCTCTGGGCTGGGTTTCCGGCTGCTTCTCGTGCCTGCTTCAGCAGCAGCAGCAGCTTGCTGCAGGCAAATGCTGCATGCACTTCGGCCTCTCCCTGCTGCGTCTGCAGCAGCGCAGCAGCAGCAGCAACAAGACCCTCCAGGGGGGCCCCCCTGTCTTCTGCAAGGGGGGGCCCCCCAGCATTTGTTAGCAATTCAATAACAGCAAATGGCTGGCTAGCCACAACTTCTGACAAAGAAGCTGCTGCAGCATCGTTTGCTGCTGCTGCTGCTGCTGCTGCTGTTGCATGTGCTGCTGCTGCTGCACCTGCTGCGCTGCTTCGTGCTGCAGCAGTGCCTACTGCAGCGCCGTCTGCTGCAGCAGCAGCAGCAGCAGCCTGCAGCGCCTGCAAGCACTGAGGCACTATGGGCAGCAGGGCTTGCTGCTGCAGCAGCGCCAAAGTGCTGCTGTCGCTGCTGAGGTGGATTAGCTGCTGCAGCTGCAGCAGCAGCAGCAGCCGACCTCCGGGAGTAATTGCTGCAGCAGAACTTGTCTGTGGCGCAGCTGCTGTTTCTGCAAGGTGCTGCAGCAGCACAGCAGCAAGTTCATAAGCGGGCGGCGGGGGGCACGCAGTGGCTGCTGCAGCAGCAGCAACAGCAGCAAACACCTGCAGCAGCTGCTGCTCCCCACTAGCCAGCAGCGCTATAGAGTACCTGTGCAGCTGCTGCAGCAGCCGCTTCCAGGGGCCCCTATTTTCGAACATCCCCCGCTGCTGCAGCTGCTGCAGCCGAGCAGCAGCAGCAGCAACTTCTGCCAGCTGCGGGCGAGTAGCAGCTAGCTGGACTGCTGCACAGCTAGCCATGCTGCTGCTGCAGCACAGCAAGCAGCTAGCCAAGCCGCCTACAGGCAGCTGTCCCCCCCGCAGTACCCAAGGGGCCCCCACAGGGGCTGGGGGCCCCAGGGGGCCCCCCAGGGGGCCCCCCAAGGGGCCCCTCAGAGGAGCCCCTTGGGGGCCTCCCAAAAGGCCCCCCAGGGGGACCCCCGGGGGGCCCCTCAGGGGGCCCCTGGGGCAGGACCTTGGGGGCCCCCAAGGGCTGGAAAGGGTACTGGGCTGGGGCCCCTCTTGTATTCGTCGGCAGCGGAGAAGGGAGGAATGGGGGGCCCTCATAGAGTTTCGCGGTTAAAAAATAAAGAAGTGGAAAAATAGTAATAATTAATTAATTAATCAAAATTAATAAATAAAATAGAGCAAGAAGTGTCAAACTTGGCGTCTTGTTTCACTTATTCATGAACTCGGCTGCTCGTCATCTCGGGTTGCGCTGCTGCTGGTTGAATAACAGGGCTTGCGAGGTCCAGAGAGAGAGCAAAAGAAAATATTTTTGAAGTTTAAAATATAAAAAAAATAAAATAAATGAAAAAAGGAGTAAATGAGGGAATGAGCAAACTGCAGATCTAAGGAAAAGACCAACAGACAGGGGGCCCCCAGGTGCTCACAGAAGGCGGGCAGCTGAAGGGGGCCTTCATTTATAGCTTTTTCTCATATTATTATTTTAAAATGAAGTAAAACAAGAAAGTTTAGACAAATATTTGACTTGAGAGGAGGAAAGTGGAAGGATTCTTCTGCCTTCGTTCATTAGGGTTCGTCAAAGGGGGCCCCGGGGCCCCCGTCGCGGTGTACATGCAGGGGCCCCCGTGGGCATCAGCCCCAGAGTGTGGGGGTCTTGTTTGCGGAATAGAGCGGCCGTTTGTTAAAATATTCTTTTCTTAAAATTGAATATTTCATTTAATTTGAATTTGTGAGAATTATTGAAGCAAATATTTCGTCTGAGGGCTGCAGCGAGGCTCGAGGCGGGAGGAAGTCGCCGGGACAGGGGCCCCCGTTGGCTTGAAAATCTCTCCTTCTCGCTTAAAACTTCTCCTGAATCGATTTTGTGCGATTTAAAACCTTTTAAAAAGACAATTATGAAATAAATCTCGCAAAAAGCTTCCGAAATTCTCCACTTTTGCGGCCCAACTTCGCGAACTTCCCGAAATGGACGCCGACGGCTTCACCGCTGTGCGCCGCCGCCGCGGCAGGGGCCCCCGCAGGCCCGAAGCTGTACCCTATGAGGGGGGGGGGGGCCCCCAAGACGCTGCAGCAGCAGCAGAGGGGGCCCTCCGAGACGCAGGAACAGCAGCAATGGAGAACGAAGCAGCACAGCTGCTGCGGCGGGTGGACCCCGTGGAGACGGAAGCAAAAGAAAGCGACTCGGAAGCAGAAGCAATCGACGCCGACGGGGGCCCCCCGGGGCCCCCCACGGGGGCCCCCGCGGGGGCCCCCCCGGGGAGCCCCCCGGGGGGCCCCCCCGGGGCGGCAGGGGCCAGCAGCAGGGGGGGCCCCAGGAGGAAGCACAGGGGGCCCTCGGCAGCAGCAGAAGAGGAAAAAAAGGAAGAAGCTTTTATTCGGAGACTTTGCGTGCCGCAGCACAGATACACTCCGCTGCGGCAGCAGTGGGTGGAGTTGATAAGGCCTTTGGTGCTGCACATGCGGCTGCAGGTGCGGATGAACCT